GTGAGATTTACAACGTGACAGCGCACAAGTCCAAAAGTGGTAATGGAGAAGGGGCCAAAGGGGCATTGGGAATCCGGAACCGAAGACTGAAGACCGGGGGCTGGTGGAGGACCCTTTAGGTTGACCCATGGGTCTTACACCTGGGGAACAAAATGACTTCGACGACGACAGCGACACGTGCCAAGGACACTGATTTATATGTTTTCCATTTTTGTTTTATTAGCGGCCTCGTATCTCCGCACTTCTCTCACTCGGTGGAAAACGTGCATGGAATTAATGAGGGCTTTCCGCTATCTCACTCCGCCAGCTGCAAACCGAGAACACTACACTAGTATTTTCCCCGCCCTTTAAAGCGGTCTGCTGAATGGGCAAATTAAAATGAGCATGAAATAATCATAAATTGCGCATTGGCGCATTAAAATTTCCATCGCTTAAAGTCAAGCTTCCATTTGCCAGACGATTAAGAGGGGGGGTCAGACGATTTCCCGACAGCTGTGGGCGTCCCGTCAAAGTGCCAGGGGGGTGGCAAAGGGGTGCCAAGGTAAAGTGGAAGCTGGCTGCAATGGCGCCGGAAATGGCTGCGTATATCCTGGAATAGGAAGCCATCGCTATCGCCATCGCTGGCAATAGTTTTGCGGTGCTTTGGTCGCAGTTGCATTTGTATTTTACGATATGAATAGATCGCAGATTGGCGGGGCAGCCGGGAAAAGGGCTATTATGAGGCTGTGGGGTGTTGTTCTCAAAAGCAGATTTTATCAAAAGATGTTTATGGTTCTACCGAGATAAAAACTATCCCAAAATAACAATTAAACAAATTTAATATTTGTATATATTGTGTTTGTTTTTATTTAAATATATATAGGGTTAATTTTTAGTCACCTTCCTGACAATTATTATATATTTAATTTAATTAAAATATTTATAAAAACTTTGTTTTAATTTTTGAGTTCTGATTTTTGGAACTCCCCAGGAACTAAATTCTATGCAGGTCCCTATTCCCCCCATCGCCTTTTTATCAGCCATCCACCAGATTTCGTCCGCTAGCCAACCGGCGAACAAAGCCAGAAAACCGCGGCGAGATTTTCATTTCAATTTGCTGCCAAAAATGCCCACAGATTTTGAGCGGGGGTTTCCATGAAAAGCGGGAAAATGGGTAGGGGAATCCAGAATGGTTAGGTGAAATCGGGAGCTCAGCAGACACGCAGTCGTTTGGTCGCTCGTTGGCCAATTCAGTTTTAACGTTGCAGCTGCTGCTTGTGTTATCATTCAATTGCCGTCTGCACTGGAATTTAGCATAACAGGTATAAATATTTAAGGTTAAAGCTTAAAAGGGGGAATTTAACTGAAAGTTATGATGTATCTTAAATTACAAATTATTAAAAAATTAATCAGTAATTTGAAAAATTGTAAATATTAAATAATACAAATTGTACATTTTAATGTGTAAAATATTTACCTTCAGTTTTACAAACTTATCCTCAAAACCTAGAAATTAAATTGATAGCTTTGCTCTAATTTTCCGAGTGCATCAGATCAAATAAAAACACCTCTTAACGAGGTAAAAAACTAGTGACGACCGCACCTTCAACATACAAAAGTTCTGATATCAACATTTGTGACGAAAAATGATTACACTCGTCATTAAATAGACTTTCTAATATTTTTTCATTCGGCCCGCCCTAGCAAACTATTCCAGCCTTTTTCCCTTTACAGGCATTTTCTATTGCAGCGTGACGAATGAGAAAAGATTAGAAAGTCTATTTAATGACGAGTGTAATAATTTATCGTCACAAATGTTGATATCAGAACTTTTGTATGTTGAAGGTGCGGTCGTCACTAGTTTTTTACCTCGTTAAGAGGTGTTTTTATTTGATATCAGAAGTTTTTGTTTGTTTACATTTGCTCTCATAGGAGCTAATATATACATTTAAATTTAAATTGGTCAATCATAATTTTTAAACTATTGTATTTTAACAAATTAAGTTAAAAAGGCGTTGAAGTATTTTAAAATACCTTTTAAACGAGGTATAGCACATGTCTGTACCTTTAGTAGTGTAGAACTTACAAACTAAAGAAATTTAGCTATTTTTAGCTTTTTCCCGCTAAAGTAGCGGCTTTTTCCAAAAGTCGTAGAACAAAAGATTCCTATATGGAACTCTTAAGTGCAAATTTACTGATTCCATGACCCTAAAATACAGTTCGGATACCCTCCCACAAAATTCAATACTCAGGGAGCGTTAATTGTTCGAGCTGGCAAAAGTGGCTATTTTAGTATAAGAATAACTTTTAAACGTGACTTTTTACAGTAATGTGTTATATACCAAAATTTAAGGAATCTCAAGGGCTATACAGTTTAAGGTTTTAAAGAAAATCGTTAGAGCCGTTTTTGAGAAAAAAAAAAAAAAAGCTAAAAAAAAAGTTTTAAAAAATTGTCTTTTGTTCATATTTATTTAATTATTACATTTACACAAATTGCATATAGAAGGCGTTTATAGCATTTAAAAATACCTTTCAAACGAGATGCAGCACAAGTCTGTAGCTTTAGTAGTATATAAGTTACGGATTTCCGAATTTTAGCTATTTATAGCTGTTTTCCCGCTAAACTAGCGAGTTTTTCCAAAAGTGGTAGAACAAAAGTTTTTCATATCGATGTGATGAACGTCATATCAAATTTTCAAAACTTAAAAAACATGTTTTGGACAAACTGACAAACTGACAAACTGACAAACTGACAAACTGACAAACTGACAAACAGAATTAAATTTTCATTTTGGGAAGACGAAGGAAATCTTATTTTGGCTATAACTTTTGAACGGAGCGTCGGATTTTGACAAATGACCCCTCATTCGACGGGTATTTTCAAAAGGAATACAACTAAAACATTTCGAGGGGGCTTTTATCCCCACCGGCCCCAGCAGCTCCAAATTTCGAAATTTTCACTTTTTCACTTTCACCGCTCTCTCTCCCAAGCCAATTAATTTTCTTAGAGTCTTGGTATGCAATCCTGTTAGTTTTCGCAATACCTTTCGATAGGTGTATCATTCATTATGATCGGACCATCACAGTAGATTTTTATTTCTTCGTGTATATATAGTAGTCGCCTTCGCACACTCTCCTGGTGCGCTTCGTCACTACATGGACTGCCGTCCATAGTGATTAGTGCCCATAACTATGAGTAATGACCATTTCGGTATGTAACTCCCATCTGCAGCCCCCTTCAAGGGCTTTAGCCGGATTCTGGTCTAGTTTAATTGGGCGAGGGCAATGCTCACTTGGAGCAGGCCACTTGACTTGCCAGCCTTCGATGAAACGCCTGCTGAAATTAGCTTAACTAACCAACCCCGGGGCAGTCGTATCTGCTCCTCATTCCCAATGTGCCTGACCAACTCCCCCGGATCCCGTTCTCACCTCGACCCCAAAAGGCGATAGTTGTTGACATGGACAACAGCCCGTTGGGCATTTTGACCCGGCGTCAAGTGCATGACTATCTGATTGCATTCTATGCGAATTTTGGCCGGAAAAGCGTTTAAAACATCGAACTGCGTGGGGGAAAACGTGCTCGGAATTTAAGCTGCACAGAAAACAAATTTATTGAAAAGAAAAGCATTTTAAAAAATTGTTGGTCATGATAAAGATTGCTGTATATTTTTTAATTATACTAAAAATACTACCAAAGATTATAATGATTATACATTTTACCAATAAAATAATTCGTGTTTGTTAAATATGTTTAAATTAAAAACAAAAATTAGTAAAAAACAACTAGATATTTAAGGCAGCTATATTCATTTATTCACAGTAATTGAAATCCATACAATTATTAATATTCATATAGCTATTAAATGCTGAATTTTTAAATTAGAATGTTATTAAACGCAAATAAGGCAAAGACAAAAGAAGACCGGATTATTTTTCAGTGTTCCTTAAATAGTATAGGTCCTATATTATAGGATCCTAATCCTAACGAGAGTTTGCTCCACTTGCATACCAAATTGGTTTAATTCAATAAAATTTTCAAACAAACTTGTTTCTGCGGCCACATCGGTTATGAGTAGGGGTTTTAAATTGCTTTTGTTCATTGGCTTGGAGCTCTAAAGCCGCGGGCCATTTTCAGCTATGCTGTTCAAAAGTCCGTAAAGTAATTCTATTAAAAAAATTACAACAAAAAAATAACTACGTTCGGAAAAAATAACTAACTACATCAGCGGCGTTGAACGAGGGGAGGAGGACTAAAAACTCGATAGCATTTTAGCTGGATAAACAAATTTCTTCGGCGAGCGAGCAAGAGCCAAGCAAATATGAAATTCCATTAATTTGATGGATGCTCCGGGCGCCAAGAAGTGGAGGAAATGTGTGTGATAGCGATTCGAGTACAACACCATGCACCCCACGGGGCGTATGATTAATGCAATTTTCTGTTGCCGACAGGCAAGTCAATGTCAGTGAAAACACAATGCATTTATTAATGAAGAACAAATCATTCAGAACGAGAAATCTAATATCGAATTCACTTTGTTAAGGGCTAGTACTCAACCCAACAAAAAGTCGTCCAAAACAAAAACTTTATATGAAACAAAATTTTTTGACGTTGTTTTTCATATGAAGTTTTTTGTTTTGGACGAATTTTTGTTGGGTTGAGTACTAAGCCTAAGTCTTGACTTTGTAAAGTTTTAAATTAAAATTATAGAAGTATGTTAAAGTAGTTGGAAAAAGATTGTTTAAAAATGTGTTATACTACCAAATAAAACTTTAACGTAAATAAAAAATTGTTGAAATTCTGTGATAATAAGTAACAAGTAAGAAATGTCAGCAGCTAGCTGGTTTTCAAACTTTTTCACTTTTGTTATATCTTAATTGACATTTTTCCCTAAACTAATTTATTTGTAATTAGCATTTAACATTTTTGGTTTCACAAGTTTGGTGTAACACTCAAGGGTAAAACTGTATAAAGCCGAAGTATTTCTTGTGGTAAGAACAAACTACTTTCAAAGCAACAGAAACACAGTTCGAAATGTTTTTCCAAGGGCTTAGCCTGCTCTTAGCAATTCCTTTGATGTGCCTTCCTGGAGTTCCTGGAGGTTTCGAGCCTACAGACCGCATCGTTGGTGGAAAAAATATAGCCATCACTGAAGTTCCTTGGCAGGTCTCTCTACAATATAAGGGTCAGCATTTCTGCGGTGGATCCATCTACAGTGAAACCATGATTATCACGGCTGCCCACTGTGTTAAGGATAAGATGACCTTGCCCCTCGAAATTCGAGCGGGATCCTCGAAATACAATAACGGTGGCACTTTGGTAAAAGTAGAAGCCATCCGATATCACGAAAAATTCAGCAGGAGATTGGGCAACGATGTTGCTGTTATAAAATTAAAAAGCCCTCTAACGTTTTCCGATACCATCAAACCCATTTCCTTGGCAGAAAAGGACCCAGCCGTGGGATCGGTGGCCTTATCGACTGGCTGGGGCGCTACAAAAAGGAATAGTGGTCCCCAAGATCTACAGGGAGTTGTAATAAAGATCGAAAGACTATTCTGGTGTAAATTTAGATATCCGTTTATACTTCCCTATATACATAGTAACGACATTTGCGCTGGAACGAGGGGTAAATCAGCAAGTGACGGAGATTCCGGTGGACCATTGGTCGTGAATAGAAAGCTAGTGGGGATCGCTTCACGGAAAGGAAACTTCCTCTGTTGGTCATCTGGATTTTACGTCAGTGTGGCGAAATTCAACAAGTGGATTCAAAAAGCAATCAAGTCCTTTTAAAACTATTTTATTCACTCTTTTCATAATTGGCATTACATCCACAACCATTTCTTGGAAAATTGAAACAAAATGAATATTTATATATTACCCATATAATTCAGGTTTCGACGAAAGTCATTACAAAACTTAAAAACAGTACTTTTAATTTTCTTTTAACCATTAATATATTTTTTATATCATGTATTGAAATTTCACAACAAACTTAAAACAAAGTTATTATAAAATAAAATATTTGTCTATATCGGTAATATATTTTAGACAAATACAAATTGAAATGGAAATTTCAGAACAAACTTAAAACAAAGTAATTATAAAATAAAATATTTGTCTATATCGCTAATATATTTTAGACAAATACAAATAAGCTTATTTTATAAATTTTGGCACCTTTATTGAAAATTATGGACGCCTATTTATGATAATGATAAAAGGAGCAAAAATATTTATTTTATATTTAGACTTTATTGTAATCAAAAAATTAATTAAAATTATGTGATATTAGGTATGTATAATCTAAAAGTACTAAACTTGTTTAATCTTTTAATCTTAATTGAAATTTTTCCCTAGCAAATTTATCTAAAGAAAAGTGTATAATCTAAAAGTACTAAACTTGTTTAATCTTTTAATCTTAATTGAAATTTTTCCCTAGCAAATTTATCTAAAGAAAAGTGTATAATCTAAAAGTACTAAACTTGTTTAATCTTTTAATCTTAATTGAAATTTTTCCCCAGCAAATTTATCTAAAGAAAAGTGTTAAAAAGTAATTAGCATTTTTTGTTTCATAATTGTTGTGTAACACTCAAGTGACAACTCTATAAAGGCGGAGTGTTTCTTGTGGTAAGAACAAACTTCTTTTTACACAAGAGAAACGCAGTTTAGAATGTTATTCCAAGGGTTTCATCTGCTGCTAGCAATTTTTTTGCTGAGTCTTCCTCGAGTTCCCGGCATTTTCGAGCCCACAGACCGCATCATTGGTGGAAGTAAAGTAGCTATCACAGAAGTTCCTTGGCAGGTGTCTCTGCAATATAATGGCCAGCATTTCTGCGGTGGATCCATCTACAGTGAAACCATTATCATAACGGCTGCGCACTGTGTTGAGGATAAGATGACTTTGCCCCTCGACATTCGAGCTGGATCCTCTGATTACCAGAACGGTGGCACTTTGGTACAAGTAGAAGCCATCCGATATCATGCAGAATACAAACGATTGGCCAACGATGTTGCTGTTTTAAAATTGAGATATCCTCTAACTTTTTCGGATGCCATCCAACCAATTTCCTTGGCTGAGAAGAACCCAGCCGAAGGATCGGTGGCCTTAACCACTGGCTGGGGTTCTGTTGGTTTGATTAATGATACACCGCAAGAACTACGGGGAGTTCAAGTCAAGATCGAAAATTGGTTGTGGTGTAGAATAAAATATTTTTTTGTAATGTATTCAGATGACATTTGCGCCGGAAGCGCCTTTCAAGCTATTTGTAGAGGAGACTCCGGTGGACCCTTGGTCGTCGATGGCAAACTGGTGGGCATCACCTCAAGAACTGGAAACTTTTTGTGTTTGGCCTCTGGACTTTACGCGAGTGTGGCGAAATACAACACGTGGATTCACCAGGCAATCGAATCGTTTTAATCGCATTTTCCCCACAACAAGATGTTGAAAAATGTAACAAAACTTTATTTAAACCCAAATAAAATTAAATACAGTATCAGTCAATTAAAATGTGAAAGTGAAAAATATATTTATTGTTCTTATAAATAAATTATTTAACCAAAATAATTTTAGAGTAGTCAGTCTAGTAAGTCTATAAATCTAGTAATTTTTTAAGTGTAGATTAAACAAGCTAGAAAAAACGACTGACAAACTTTAACTCCGACTATTTTGTTAGCATTTTCACTTAAGTTTATCTGACTGAGCATCGGTATTTCAAATATTCGTCAACATTCTTCTTTATTTGTATTTCTGTACGAAAGAGTGTTATTAGCTAAAATTATTATAAAAGCATTCTTCTAACGCCTTCTAGTCACTCGTCTTTTAAACAGCAGTTTAGAATGTTCATCCATTGGATTTTCCTGATCTCATGCGTCACTCTGATCTCCTCCAAAAGGATTCCAGGGCGCATTGTGGGAGGCAAAGTGGTGGCAATTAAGTCGGTTCCCTGGCAGGCTTCCCTTGAAAAGCGCGGAGAACCTTGGTGCGGTGCTGTCATCTATAGTGAGAAAATCGTTATAACAGCAGCTCACTGTACCGAATTTCTTTGGCCTGCCATTCTCTCCGTAAGAGTGGGCTCATCGAACTCCGAATCCGGTGGTCAGGTGGTGAGGGTATCCAGAATCCTGGCACATGAGAAATTTGGCGAATATTATGATATATCCGATGACGTAGCCGTTATTAAACTTAAAACCAGTCTCAAAATGGGCGTCAGTGTCAAATCCATTCCACTGGCGAATAGATCTCCGAAACCTGGATCTTTGGCTTCGGTTTCTGGATGGGGAAGGATAGGATACAGTATGGACCCTTCTAGAACTCTGCTGGAGACCACGGTAGCCATAGTTGATTGGCATAAATGCCGGAAATCGTACTACGGGAGAGTCACGAAGGATATGATTTGTGCCTCCGCCCCGGGAAAGGATTCCTGCGCGGGGGATTCCGGAGGTCCTTTGGTGTTCGGTGGCAAACTGGTTGGAATAGTCTCATTCGGGTACGGATGTGCTGATCCACAGTATCCCGGTGTCTATGCTGATGTGGCTGAGCTCAAGCCATGGATCTTAAAAGCTATCAAACGTCTGTAAAGACGTAGGAAAAGGGATTTACAATCCTTTAATAAAAGCAATGCCAAATTGAAAACTGTTAAATTAATTTATTTAAAGGTTATTTCTTATGCTAGTCTAATAAAATTGTATAGGTGAATTTTAATTGCTTTAGGGGCGTATTGTAAATATTTCTTTATTATTACATGTTTTCTTATTCCACCAATAACTCTATTTCAGAGGGTGTAACTAAATTTAATCCAGTGAAATTCGTTTTTAGATAAAGGCATTGTATGAAAGTTAGAAACACAGTATCAGTCAATTAAAATTATCTTATTATGAAGTATTCTTCATTCTTATCTTGGAAATGGGACAGAAAACGTTTTTTCTTGTTTCTATTTTGTTTGTTTTCAGTAGATACATTGCAACTCCTACACATCCAAAATGAGATGTTTATCAAACGATTATATTTTTTTTGGGAAAATCAGATCCAATTTTTCTATAGCCGAGAATTATTTTAAGGTACCCATTTAGGTTTAAAGTCTTACCTTAATAATTATGACTTCTTTCTATAAATATATATAAAAATGAATATAGCAATTAAATAATTAGTTATTAAAAAAAAATAATAAGTTATTACAAATAACTAACAAATTGACTTCTAAAATTAGTTTTAATAGGTAATATTTTTAAAATTTTTCCATTTGCTTATCTTTAAAGAAAATATTTTTGCAGAAATGAAAATATTATAGGAATTTCCTATTATACATTTTTATAACAGGGTCTATTCTAAATGTAGAAAGATTGGCTCACTCAAGAAGTGTTAACTGTGTCCTATAAAAGAAATTTTCCATTCGAAGTAAATTTATTGTGATCTAAAGTCTCATCCAAACCAGTCGAAATGTTCATCCGGTTGTTTCTGCTGCTATTGGCAATTAGTTCCCTGTCTGCAGGACGAGTTCCCCAACTGGAAGAACGCATTATCGGTGGAAGTGACATTGAAATCGAACAGGCTCCTTGGCAGGTGTCCTTACAAGTTGAAGGACGTCATGTTTGTGGTGGATCGATTTACAGCAAAGATATTATTATCACTGCGGCACATTGCCTTTTTGATGATGATGTACGGCAACAACTTGATGCCAAAAACTTTCGAATTAGCGTAGGATCCTCATTAAAAAACTCTAACGAAAGTCTTGTCAAAGTAGCAGCCATAAAATCTCATGAGAGGTTTCATGATCCTCCTTATAAAAACGACATTGCCGTGATGCGATTGAGTGAGCCGCTCGAGTTTTCCAACAAAGTACAGCCTATTCCTTTAGCCGATAACAATCCTCGTTATGGGACGCCCGCATTTGCTTCTGGCTGGGGAGCTACATCATTCGAATTGGTTTTTGTGAATGGCTCTCTTAAATGGAGCCCTACATATCCCACACATCTTCAAGGCGTATCGCTCCGAATTAGATCATTTTTTTTTATGCCACAAGATATAATTTATGCCGGAGTATTTGGACAAAGTGGTTGCCGAGGCGACTCCGGTGGACCTCTGGTTGTTGACAAACAACTTGTGGGTGTCGTCTCATCAGGTCCGAAATTGTGCGATGGAAAAGGGAAGTTCACCAGTGTCCCTGCCTTCAGGAATTGGATTTTAGATGCCATTAAATCTTTTTGAAAAATATAATAGAGTATAAAAATAAATACAACTTCACAATGGCATGTGTCTAACGAAAACTTTTAAATGCTTTATTTTTGCTTATATCTATTTCTCGATCGATGGCATCTTTTATGATGTTTACAACGCTATAGTTGAGTACTTTGCCTCCTGCTTAAGCAAGTGCAAGGAGATGGATCTTTGCAAGCATATCCGACCATGGCATAACATCGCCATCTGGCCCCTATTTCATTATCTTCTCTTACCCCAAAAAAGATCAGATTTGTAAAAAATTTTGAATTCCGATAGCTTTCAAGAAATGAAATAAAATACAATTTACACTGCAAAAACATCTTTGAAATTGTGGGTGCTTCTTACACTCAAAATAAAATTAACCCTAAAGTCAAGGAAATCGCCCTACTTTTGTCTTCAAGACAAGCTCGCCCTAAATTTTAGGGTCACATTTTTCTATATTTTTGATTTTTTTTGACGTCATATTTCTAAATTTGAGGGTAATTTTACTAAATTTAAGGGCAAAAATTTCTAAAAATTAGGAAATTTTCCTAAAAAATAGAAATTAAAAACAAAACAAAAAAACATGTTTAATCATGATTTTTTTTTGTATATACGTTTATATTATGTACTTCTCCCTATATACATAAGCAGGCGTTGTGTGTCATGTATATTGTGAATGTTAAAGGTTATGTATTTATTATTATGTATTTGCGCTTGGATTTCTTATCTAACCAAAGCCAAATGTGGTTGTAAATGTAGACTACTGGACTGCGGAAGATTGGGAATGTAGAAATTATGATTAGTTAATATTTTATATTCATGAAAAAAACTTACAATTTTTACTTGTCCGTCGTGAGAATCGAACCCGGGTCTCCCGCGCGAGGAGCGAATGGCCTACATACTGGGCCATTGTAGCACTTAAACTTGCTGTGGCAAACCGAGCATTGCATGTAAAGGGTGAAGCGGACAACACATTTGAATACTAATTACATAATTTTGACCATTCGCGTTTTACTTATTTACATACGTATATACATATGTATATATTTATGCTAGCGCAATTTATATTATGTGTAGTATATAGTAAATAGCTGAATATAAACCTAATTATTTTTAGTTTACCGCTTGCCATCAATAAAAAAAGGAATAAAAAAAAGTAAAAAAATAAATAAAAAGAAAACAAAACAAAAAAAAAAAAAATAAAATAACATTAAAAAAAGTTAAAAAATTTTGCTCTGGGGCTCGAACCCGCGTCGATTCGATTGCTAACCAAGTGCTTTAACGGTCTGCGCCACGAGTACAGCCGGCCGGCAGCTGACAAGTTGTGGCATTGAACATTTTGGTGTGCCAGAGCATGTGAAAACAAATATTTCTATTTTTTAGAAAAAAATTTATACTTTTTAGAAAATGTTTCTATTATTTAGGGATGGTTTCATTTTAGGGTTAGGGCACTAATTTTTAGAAAAGGTGTTGCCAAAATATTTTATTATTTTCGTTTGCCTTTCTATTTTTCAGAAAATAATTTCTAATTTTAAGGGCATTTTTTCTAGATTTTAGGGTGATTTTAGTTCATGGTAACCATTTTCTACATTTAAGAAAAACTTCCTGGATCTAAGGAAAACTTTCTTGACTTAAGAAAAATTTCCTTAAATTTAGAAATAACTTTCTTGTATTTAGAAAAAAGAAATTTTAATTGCGATTTTCTAAAATTTAGGGTTTAATTTATTTTGAGTGTACGTTAAATATAGAAAAAATATAAAATTTTATTTATGTGTTTGCTTTACCTAATATATTAACAAAAGTTAATTACCTAAAAATTAGCTTAAATAAGTATTGAAATTTTTCAATTTGCTTATCTTTAAGGAAAATATATTTGCAGAATCATAAGAATTATTGGAATTTTCCTATTATACATTTTTAGAGCTTGCTAAATTTAGAAATTTTTAAAGATAAGCTCACTCAGAAAATGGTTATTCATATCCTATATAAGACGTTTTCTATTTGCAGTAAATTCATTGTGATCTCAAGTCTCATCCAAACAAGTCGAGATGTTCAGGTGTTTTCTGCTGCTTTTGGCATTTGATTTCCTGTCTGCAGGACGAGTTCCCCAACTAGAAGAACGTATTGTCGGAGGAAGTGACATTGAAATCGAACAGGCTCCCTGGCAGGTGTCCTTACAAATTAATGGACAACATTATTGTGGTGGCTCTATTTACAGCAAAGATATTATTATCACTGCCGCACATTGCCGTTTCACTCGCGAAGGCCGACGACTTGAGGCCAAAGACTTTCAAATTAGCGTAGGATCCTCATTGAAAAACACTAACGGAAGTCTTGTCAAAGTGGCAGCCATAAAATCTCATGAAAGGTTTCATGATCCACCTTATAAAAACGACATTGCCGTGATGCGATTGAGTGAGCCGCTCGAGTTTTCCAACAAAGTACAGCCGATTCCTTTGGCTGAGAATTATCCTGCTCTTGGAACGAACGCATTTGCTTCTGGCTGGGGAGCTACATCATTTGAATTGGGTTTTATGAATGGCTTTCTCGAATTGAATCCGATATATCCCGTACATCTCCAAGGCGTATCGCTTCAAATAAGATCAAAACTGCCAGGAGATCTAACTTATGCCGGAATTACTGGACAAACTATTTGCGGTGGCGATTCCGGTGGACCTCTGATTGTTAACAATCAACTTGTGGGTGTCGTCTCATCAGGCCCAATATTTTGCAATGATTTTGGAACTTTCACCAGTATCCCTGCCTTCAGGAATTGGATTTTAGATGCCATTAAATCTATTTGAAAAAAATGTAATAGAAAATACAAAATAAATACAATTTTACAATGGCATTTGTCGAAAAAAAAATTTCATTATTTTACTTGCATTGCAATTTACTTAATTTCGAAAATATACTTATTTGCATATACAATTATTTATACATTATATAAATATATTTGCATATACAATTATTTATACATTATATAAATAATTGTTTATGCAAATAAGTATATCACATAAACCGTGATATGCCAATTTGGGTTCTTTTTTTTCGATAGAGGATTAAAATATAAGGATTAGTTTTTATTTTTATACCCGTTACTCGTAGAGTAAAAGGGTATACTAGATTCGTGCAAAAGTATGTAACAGCTAGAAGGAAGCGTTTCCGACCCCATAAAGTATATATATTCTTGATCAGGGTCACTAGCCGAGTCGAGTTAGCCATGTCCGTCTGTCCGTCTGTCCGTCTGTCTGTCTGTCTGTCTGTCTGTCTGTCTGTCTGTCCGTCTGTCTGTCTGTCTGTCTGTCTGTCCGTCTGTCCGTCTGTCCGTCTGTATGAACGCTGAGATCTCAGAAACTACAAAAGCTAGAAGGTTGGGATTTCCCACACATATTCTTTGGCTTCCTACGCAGCGCAAGTTTATTTAAGCCGAGCGCCACGCCCCCTCTAACGCCCACAATCGCCCACTAACGATTTTAAAATGGGTCCTGCGCCCACATCTTTAAAGATTTCCGAGAACTATAAATGCAATTTTGTTATGTATATTTATACCTATCGAAATGTAGAAGACATTTTTCAAATCGGACCATTCATTAAAAAGTTATACGCAATCAAAAATTATATATCTATCTCCCTCGCACTCCCTTTAGCTGAGTTACGATTATTAGTCGGGACACCAACCCGACAAGGCGTTCGCACTCCCTTTAGCTGAGTGACGGGTATTAGATAGTCGGGACAACAACCCGACTATAGCGTTCTCTCTTGTTTTTTGTTTAACTTCTACGTTTATTTAAAAAAATATTTTTGTAAATTAGCTCAGATTTTTCAGTTACGCAGCACTTCATTCGTTTGAGTTATTTTAATATTTGGTATGCAACTTTGTGGAGTATCATAATATCTTTCAGAAAAATATTTTTAAAATTTTTTAAATTTAAAATTACGTATTTTTTAAGGGAATTTAAATAACTCTGTACGCCGGAATACACGCGATTTCGGCAAAAATTATTATCCTCATGTTGCTTCATCGATTCTTCACGAAGTGGTAAAATACAATTTTTGTATTTGCAAGACCTACTAGTATAGACAATGATTTTAGTTTAGCAACTTTGCATCAAGCAACAACAGCGCATTATTGTTAAATACAACACTATATTCGATTACTTCGACTATACTTGCGCACTCCCCTTGCGAAGCTAAAATCCTTTCAGGTTTGGTAGCGAATATTCTTGGGCCAAGAAAAAGTCTTGATTTTGTTCACCTGTGTTATATTACTATTGGTATTATTTTTACTTTAATTTTGCGATTCTTCTGGGATTAGTTTACTAATCCGGTCCGTTCCGACTTATATACTACCTGCAACAGAAGGAACACTTTTGGAATTTTAAAACTGAGAAACTAGTCTAGGGGTATTATTTAAGTCTGAATTTATGAAAGGAGCAAAAGGAGCCAAAGGATTATCTTGCCCCGCATTTTTTGGTGGCCTTAGATCGTTCCCATACAAAAAGGTACAAAATCAACGGGAACGGAGGCAATCGGCTGGCGGTGTTGGCCTCCCAGCCTTGACCGGTAAGCAATCTTATAATTGGAGTAGTGCTTACTAGTTTTTCTAAAAATATAAAGCAATGTAACATTTAAATTATTTGTTTGTTATAACTAACAAATTAACTTTTATTATTAGCAAAAACAGGTATTGATATTTTTAAAAGGGCTTATCTTTAAAGAAATAAAAACCTTGTTGGAATGGTTCAATTATACATTTTTAGAAAAGGGTCGTTGCTAAATTTAGAAATGTTAAAAGATAAGCTCACACAAAAGGTGTTAACTGTGTCCTATAAAAGACTTTCCTGTTGGTAGTAAATTCATAGTGATCTAAAGCCTCATCCAAACAAGTCGAGATGTTCATCAGGTGCTTTCTGCTGGTACTGGCATTTAATTTACTGTCGGCAGGACGAGTACCCCTGGAAGAACGTATTATCGGAGGAAGTGACATTGAAATAGAAATGGCTCCCTGGCAGGTGTCCTTAGAAGAGGAAGGTCAACATGTTTGTGGTGGCGCGATTTACAGCGAAGATATTATTATCACTGCGGCACATTGCCATTTTGATAAAGAAGGACGACGACTGGAGGCCGAAGTCTTTAACATTCGCGCAGGATCCGCGTTAAAGGAAGAAGGTGGAAGACGTATTCAAGTGGCATCCATAAAATCTCATCAGATGTATAAATTTACTCGCAAAGTATACGACATTGCCGTGATGCGATTGAGTGAACCGCTTGAGTTATCCAACACAGTACAAACAATTCCTTTGGGAGAAACTAATCCGTCTCCTGGAACTCTAGCCTTCATTTCTGGCTGGGGAGGAACATCCGCTATAGGGTATTTAGAAAATGGCGACGAAAAAGTACAGTATATTCCTGCTGAACATCTTCAAGGCGTACGGACCCAGATTATTTCGCTGTGTTCTTTGTCATCATTATATTGTCCTGATCGTCTGGATGTAATTCGTGTCGGATCCTCTCAACAAACTAGTTGCGCTGGAGACTCTGGTGGACCTCTGATTGTTAACAATCAACTTTTGGGTATTGCCTCGCTAGGTGCGAAATATTGCAATGGCTATGCAATATACACCAGTGTCCCTTACTTCCGAAACTGGATTTTAGATGTTATTAAGTCTATTTAATAAAAGGTACAACAACCTTGCTTAGATATGCAAAATAAAAGTATATTGGCAACAGCAGTGCCTAAAGGAAATCTAAAAATATTTTTTTTACATTTTTTTGGGACAAAGAATTGAAATAAACTTTTTCAAATGGCTACCTACCCAAATTCGAAGTTGGAATATAAAGCCAACCAGCAAGGTTGCTTAGAATACAGTCGGAAATTTATCACTAAAAAAAAACATACACTGATAACCCTTGACTGAGACAGATTTGAACCATTTTAACTACGTTAAACTAATTAAAAATATTCATAAAAAATAATCATTAACATTCCACATGATTTGTTTCTACCTTAGGATGATTTCGAAGTCCTTTGGTGGATTTTTCTGATCTCCAGCACTACGCTGATCTCCTCAAAAGGGATTTCGGAGCGAATTATGGGGGGCCGTCGAGTGTCAATTGAATGAGTGCCCTGGCAGGCTTCTCTTCAAAAGTATGGCGAACATATTTGCGGTGCGGTAGTTTACGGTGAGCAAATCGTTTTAACGGCAGCTCACTGTACTGCACGTGCTTCGCCAACTATTTTCTCCGTGAGAGTCGGATCATCAAATTCCGGATTCGGTGGTCAGGTGGTGGAGGTATCCCAAATCCTGGAACATGGGGACTATGACCAGGACGATGATATATCAAATGATATAACCGTGATCCTACTTTAATCCAGTCTTGAAATGGGCATTGGTGTGAAATCCATTGCACTGACAGATAATTCACCTGAACCAGGATCTTCAGCCTCGGTTTCTGGATGGGGACATATTGGAGTTGATAAGGAATCATCTGAGATCCTACTTGAGGCCACGGTGACCATAGTGGATTGGAATAACTGCCTGAATGCCTGGAATGGTGAAATCACGAAGGACATGATTTGTGCCTATGCCCCGGGAAGAGATTCCTGCTCAGGTGATTCAGGAGGTCCTTTGGTGTCCAATGGCAAACTGGTTGGAATAGTGTCCTTTGGACCGGAACCTGATGATCCAGAATCTCCCGCAGTTTATGCTAATGTGGCTGAGCTCAAACCTTGGATCTCAAAAGCAATTCAACGTCTCTAAAGTCACATCAATAATGTTAAAATCTTTTTTAATAACCATTGAATAAATCACAGACAATTATTCTAAAAATATAACTTTTACTGTCATCTTCTTACTTTAATTAGTATACTGTCTATTTATAAGGATTTAGTAATTTCCGCTTATTGTTTACCAGAAATCTAGTTGAATAACATATATTTTCGCTTAGTCGACATGTCCGCATATTTAGTTCTTACAGTAATTGGTTTCTTTTAATTTTCTTATTTATTTTTGCAAAATCCATTAACATTCTTGTGTTACAATGTTTGAAATTGCAGGTTTAAAAAACCTTTAAAGTGGGGTAGAAACGTTTGGTGAAATCACTCTTAGCTGTAACTCCATTTTAAAATGTTCGTTCAGTGGATTTTTCTAATCTCCAGCGTCACTTTGATTTCCTCCAAAGGACTTCCGGAGCGAATTGTGGGCGGTGACTCTGTATCGATTCAGTCGGTACCTTGGCAGGCTTCCCTGCAAAAGTTTGGACTACATGCCTGCGGTGCTGCCATCTACAGTGAAGACATCGTCATAACGGCCGCTCACTGCTTGCGTGACACTTACATTTTCTTCCTTTCCGTGCGAGTGGGCTCATCATACAACCACTTCGGAGGTCAGGTGGTCAAGGCCGCAAAGTTTTTGGCCCACGAGGGTCACTCCAAGCGAATGACCAACGATATTGCCCTGATTCGACTTCAATCCAAGCTCACGATGGACCACAGAGTGAGTTCCATTCCTCTGGCCGACAGTCCACCCCAAAGTGGATCTACAGCTTCGGTTTCGGGATGGGGAGCTCTTGGATTTAACGGACAATTTCCCAACTCTTTAATGGAAGTCAATGTGGACATTGTCGATCAGGATCAGTGTCTAAGATCGTACGGTAGAGTCACCACAAAGGACATGATCTGCGCCGCCGGCCCGGGAAAAGATGCCTGTGCCGGGGATTCGGGAGGTCCTTTGGTCTCCAATGGAAAACTTGTTGGCATTGTATCCTTTGGAACGGAATATGCTCATCCAAAATATCCCGGAGTCTATGCCAATGTGGCTGAGCTTAAGCCCTGGATCCTAAGTGCTATTGAAAGACTTTAAATGATTTAAAAAGTTTTTAATAAAAACACCTCATAATAAAAAGTATCTAAATAAAAAGTGTATTTCTATTTCGTTACACAAAAAGAGAATATTTATTACATGGTACTGTAAAATAAATATATTTTTAAATCTATTTTCCTTTGGTTTTGGTTTTTTTAAATTTATTGCTATAAGATCCAGTACCTTTTTGTTGTTGAATTTTAATTGATAACGTTGTGTTTATGTTTTTAAAAGTTATTTGTTGTAATATTTCGTATCCAATTGGTTCAATAAAGAATAATAATCAATAAAATAGAGACAGATAAGATAGATACAAATTTTAATTACAACACACTTTTATAATCAAAGGACGAAAAGACCACTAACCTTTTAAGTAGGCATACCTGCAAGGGTATATAAGCTTCGGCTGGCCGAAGTTAACTTCCTTTCTTGTTTTTTTTTTCAAAAAACAAATTCTCTAATAATAAGCTTTATAATTAGTTTTAAAAGGTATTGATATTTTTCAATTAGCTTATATTTAAAGTGAAAAATACATTTTGCTGAAAATGAAAACCTCGGTGAATTTTTCAATTATATATTTTTAGAACAGGGCTTTTGCTAAATTTAGAAATTTTACAAGATAACCGGACACAAAAATGGTTATCCGTGTCCTATAAAAGATGTTTCCATTCGCAGTAAGTTCATTGTGATCCTAAGTCTCTTCCAAACTAGTCGAGATGTTCATCAGGGGATTTCTGCTGCTATTCGCACTCAAATTCCTGTCTGCAGGACGAGTTTCTCCACCGGAAGAACGTATTATCGGAGGAAATCCCATTCCAATCGAACAGGTTCCCTGGCAGGTGTCCTTACAAGTTCACGGACATTATCAATGTGGTGGCTCCATTTACAGCAATAATATTATTATCACTGCGGCACACTGCCTTTTTAGTCGCGATGGACGACCTCTTAAGGCCGAAGACTTTCGTATTCGCGTAGGATTCCCATTGAACAACGCATACGGAACTCTTGTCACAGTGGCAGCAAAGAGAATATAAACACTAAGAGGTGTAACGCCCATACAACTGAATGTACGGCAAAATTTTTGGTGTGGATTCAGAAAGTGGATTTATAATTTCTTAGTGTGCGTTGTCCGTGTTAGATTCTTTGGTTGTGTTAGTGTGCAATTTCGTTTGCTCTACTGCGAAATAGGCTCAATGTCGCATCTGTCTGACGTCTCGAAACAAGGCACTGTGGGCTAAAGGTGTAGTCGCTCGACTGCGGATCGTGTCGGACCGAGTTCAACTCCGACTGAACGCAACCTTTTTTTTTAAGTATTTTTTTTTTTAAACATTGTTTATTGAATATATATTTTTTTAAATTGAAAGAAAGGTAAAGACCATTAATGGATTGAATGATTTCGGTGTAAATCAATTCTTTCTAGGGATTGTGTGCTCGCTTTTTTGTTTAAAAAATAAAATTATTGTTATTTTTAGTCCCTGAATTGCATTTAAATTGTATACTTCAATAAAAATTAAACAAAATTATAAAAGTAAACTCGGATGCGTAAAATAAAAAAAAAAATGAAGATAAAAATAAAACCACTTCGCCTCATAGTGGACTCGAACCTCAATCGCATTATTCGCGGGCCACCAACTAACGCAATGCGCCACAGCCCTTTTTGACGATTCCTTTTCGGCAACATAATTCAAGAATCAACAAATGAGACAAAAATTTAATTTCGACTTTTCTGCAGCGCGGAGTTTTGAGAGCGAAAGAGCAAGTGAGCGAGAGAGAGAGAAATCAAGAAACGGCATTCTAAAAATAGACTGAATACGTGTGAGTCGCATTTGACAAAAATGACGCTGCCTCCGTACATTTTCTTGCTCCTCGTTACACATCTTAGTGTTTATAATATCTTTGGTGGCAGCCATAAAACCCCATGAGAAGTTTTTTAATCCTTTTTTTTAAAAACGACTCTATCGTGATGGACCTAGGACCCTATAAGAAGGTTCACATAAACTTTATTGTACACGACTTAGGAGTGATGCGACTGAGTAAACCGCTTAAGTTCAACAACAGAGTTCAACCGATTCCTTTGGCCGAGTCGATTCCTGTTCCTGGAACATACGCACTTTCTTCTGGATGGGGAGCAACGTATTATGTTGATGATACGAATTACATACTTCCTATAGATCTTTAAGGCATATGGGTCAAATTTGATTGGTCGCCATATTGTTTTGGAGTACAGAATATTATTTGCATAAGACATCATGTTGGACCTATTTGTGGAGGCGACTCTGGAGGACCTTTGGTTGTTAGTGGACACCTTGTAGGTGTCGCATATGCATCACATTGCACTGGAGAAGGAATGTATACCAATGTCCCTTATTATCGAGAATGGATTTTAAGTGCCATTGGATCACTTTGATAACATGTCCAAATAAACAAAAATATTTACGAAAGTCTGAGCAAAAAAATCTGTTTACATAAATAAGGGCTTTGAGGGAATAATTTGTTTAAATTCTTTAAAAACTTATAAAATATCTTTTAAAAAAATCTTGAATAAAAAAAAATAAATCAGATACCCGTGACTTAGCTAAAGGGAGTGCAAGGGAGATGGAGATATAAAACTATGATCGGGCATAACTATTTAACGAATGGTCTGATTTGAAAGATTTCTTCTACATTTTGATAGGTATAAAAAAACGCAACAAAATTGCATTTTAAAACCGCACATTTTAAAATCCTTTCTGGGCGATTTTAGGCATTAGACGGGGCGTGGCGCTTGGCTGAAATAAACTTGCGCTGCGTAGGAAACCCAAAAATATGTGTAGTAATCCCAACTTTCTAGCTTTTGTAGTTTCCAAGATCTTAGCGTTCATCCAGAAAGACAGACAGACATGGCTAGATAGACTCGGTTAGTGATCCTGATCAAGAATATATTTACTTTATAGGGTCGGAAACGCTTCCTTCTCTCTGTTACATACTTTTGCACAAATACAATGTACCCTTTTACTTTACGAGTAACGGGTATAAAAACGTATTTCTTTAAAATAGGACTTTGTAAACCTATAAATAAGTGCGTTTTTACCTTTTCTCGTCCGTTTGGGCCAAAACCTTGAGATCGTATGGGAAATCAGAGTTTTATTCCTACTTTAAATTTAACAAGCGGACGAGAAAACGGTCCTAAATAAAATAATATAATAATAAATGTTTTTCTAAGGAAAAAATACACACATATTTACAGAAAACATAATTGTATTCGCTTCTGAAAAGTTGATAAATTTATGAGTGAAACCAATTTTTATATGGATTTGTTCGCTTATCAAAACAAACTATATACGTAAAAGTATTTATCTTTGCTTTTATTAATTGTAACCTTAAATATTTAATTAAAATGTTTGTAATATTACCTAGCTTAAATTGATAGAAAATAGCTTATTTATCACTCAGTTTAATTGCTAAACGTTTTATTTTTAGTAACTTAATAACAAACTATTTATAAACATTCTTGAGTTAATGGGCTACAAATGTAGTTCAGCGTTTAAGATATATAAGAGAAGGGCACACCTGGGTTTAAGTCACTCCTAACTTTAACCCCGTTCGCAATGTTCACTCAGTGGATTCTTTTGATCTCAAGCTTTATCCTGGCGGCTTCTGAAAGGACTCCTGAGAGGATTGTGGGAGGCTACTCGGTGCCCATTTCCTCAGTTCCTTGGCAGGCTTCTCTCCAGAAATTTGGAACGCATAAGTGCGGTGCTGCGATCTATAGTGACCAGATCCTTATAACAGCTGCACACTGCATTCCGCGAAGATATTTCGGATACTCGGTGAGAGTTGGCGCTACGAATAGGAACTTTGGAGGCCAAGTGGCCAGAATAGCAAACATCATTGCTCACGAAGGCTATCGTCGATTACCATTCGGAGCTATCAACGATGTTGCCGTGATTCGACTGAAGACCAGACTCCAGATGGATGACACTGTTCGTCCCATTCCTTTGGCAGATAGTACCCCCGTAATGGGATCTTCCGCCTCGGTTTCTGGATGGGGAAGTGTTGGATATAATCAGCATGAATCCGACATTTTACTAGAGACCACGGTGGCCATAGCAGATTGGAATTCCTGCCGGTATTCCTACAGACATTTGATTGACATAACCAAGGATATGATTTGTGCTGCAGGCCCGGGAAAAGATTCGTGTTATGCTGATTCTGGAGGTCCCCTGGTGTCCGATGGTAAACTTGTTGGCATAGTAAGCTTTGGAGAGGGTTGTGCTAATCCCGATTATCCTGGAGTCTATGCTAATGTGGCTGAATATAAACCCTGGATCCTAAATGCTATTCAAAGAATTTAGGGGCTAAAGAAGTGGCTAATTAGCTTCAAAAATAAAACTGGAATAAAAGAATGTATTTTTTCGAAGTGGTTTTGTATTCGTGTTAAGCGGATATTAATTTCTGTATTATTAGTGAACACATTGGTAAGAATATGATATTATATTATTCAGGCCTTCTGTAAAATGGTATTTTAACGGTTAAATAGCAACCATACTTCGTTAAAGTGGTTTCAGATATCTTAACTATTCATTAACATTTTTGTGCGATAATGTTGGAAAAATAGAATGTAGGAACAATTTATAAAAGGCGGGCTTAACCCTTAGTAAAGTCACTCATAAGTGTCAGTTTGGTTTGGAATGTTCACCCTGTGGATTTTCCTGGTCTTCGTTGTCGTACTGATTTCTGCAGAAGGCATTCCGGAACGGATTTTTGGAGGTCACTCTGTGCCCATTTCTGCCGTTCCCTGGCAGGCTTCTCTGCAACAAAATGGCAAGCATACGTGCGACGCTGTAATCTACAGTGATCAGATTGTTATTACGGCAGCCCATTGCATTCCTTCAAATAATAGTACTGAAATAACAATTCGAGTTGGCTCATCAAAGGGCAATTCCGGTGGTCAGCTGGTAAATGTTTCTACAATCCAAATCCACGAGGGTTTTGGCCAGAGTTGGTCCAACAATATAGCCGTAATCAGACTGAAGACCAGTCTTCGAATGAGTGCTAATGTAAAATCCATTCCACTGGCTGATAGTTCTCCAGAACCCGGATCTTCTGCCTCGGTTTCCGGATGGGGACGTCTAGGATGTTATCAGCTCTTGGAAACTACAGTGAACATCAAGGATCTGAATAGTTGTCAAACGTCCTATGGACAGGGTATTACTAAGGACATGATATGTGCCGCTGCTGAAGGTATAGGTTTTTGTTCCGCGGCTTCTGGAGGACCTTTGGTATCGGAGGGAAAACTGGTTGGCATTGTTTCTTTCGGAAAAGGTTGTGCTCATCCCGACTATCCCGGAATCTATGTTGATGTGGCTCAGCTCAAGTCCTGGATATTGAAGGCTATTAGAAAGCTTTTTTGTCCATGTACAAAAAAAGTGTAAAACAAACAAGCATACTTTAAAAATTTAATTTAAAAAAAAACTGATAATAATTTTAACACAAATAAATTTGTACTGTAAGCTTTTTTTAAAGCTTCAAGAATATGTATAATTTTTATACCATCACCATCTGGGTACTAAAGTTTATCCGCGACGTTGGAAACTATTTGCATTCACCCCTTTTTCTTTCAGTTGGCTCCTTGAAAAGACCGTGATATTCTCCCTTTTTCAGGGATTGTCTGCAACTTAATCTCCTCGCTGAGTTTGGGGGGCAAGAAAAAGCGATTTCCGAGTCATTGGGCAATGCAAACTATGCAATATAATCGCATGATATATGCCTAATCTCTGCTGCAAACTTCCCATCGCCGAGAAAATGGAAAATGGAGCCCGGGTAAAATACCCAGCCGCTAAGCCAGTGGAAGCTGCCGCTGGAGAGTCAATTCCAGCGATTAAATTAAGAATGCATAACTTGCAGGGTTAACAATGTTACAGGACGATGGGGTGGGCATAAGGAATAGGTGGATGGGGGGGATTGGATGGGAGAGAACCCATAGAACAGGGAGCAATTGCCTTGACAGGAGCACGAACGGAGTCCCTGATTTTTATTTGCCATTCTCTTTGCTCCCATTGCCACGAGAGAGTGCAAAAAAAAATGCAGGGAACGGTGCAACTTCTGCTACTTATCTGCTTTTTTCAATTTGCGATTTGTTTGCTGCAACCCCACTGCTATTAAAACACTTCGAAAATTGTTTACGAATTTTGTATTTAAAAAAAATAATATTTTTTCTCTGTCACAACTTTGTTTTCACTTTTAAGTAAAATAAATGTAATTCATTATCTTTAGTTTATCAGATTATAAAATAATTTTAAGTTGTAAAAAAAATTTATTTGAAATCAATAATTTTTAAACTTTATTGTTATTTAGAAAAATAATTTTTTTTTATTCTCGTATTTTAACAAATTTATATTTTTACTGTGTAAAAATATTAAATTTGCAGTTTTCCGAATAATTTACAAATAAGTACAAAATAACATAAATATAATAATAATATTATCATTAATATATTTTTATTTTTCTCAGTGTACTTTTCCTGACCTCAGAGCTGCATTCTCTGCCTCCTTTCTCCCATCAAGAAAGTCATGTCGGAAGGCTTGCTGCTTCTGGTTCCTGTTACCCTTCCTGCTTGCTTATTTGTTTGCACTCTTGGACATGGAACGTGCCTGGTCGGGCCTTTTATAAACATCTTGTATAACTGGCGGGCAGCTTCCTTCATCCGCCACCCACTTTCACCCGTTATCCACACCATACCTCCCCTTATATATTTGTTTTTAATACAATTTCTTTTCTGCTGCGCTTTGCTTTGAGCTCTGCAAATAGTTTTCATAAATGTTGTGGTTATGTAATAATGGTGGAGTATCGTGGATCCCAGAGGGCCATCTCTTTTAATTTGTTCGAAAGCGAGAAAAGGGAAATAAAAGCCAAACAGCTGAGGCCAGGACATGTTGCTATCACAATAGAATTCACCCACACCTTTTTGTTCATTTTTTTTATGGTTACGTTTATGCGGAGCAGTTCGTAATATCTCTTGGGAAAAACAAGCAAGAATATAAAGGCTTCTAAAAGTTTATTAGAGATCTCTTTTTTAAAGCATGCTTTTAGGCACTTTAAAATGTGATTTCAAGCCCCATCAGATTTTTTCAAAAATTTATTTTAATATTAATGTGAATACTTTCTTAACGCTTTTCGTTTATTTCCCCCCATAAATGTGTGTATTTTTTATGCCAGACATATAATTGAATTAATCCCAACTCTCTTTATTCCTTTTTTCTCCACCTCGTTTGTTTACTCCTTTCACAAAATCCCCTCACAGTGCTAAAAAAAAGTTAGCACACATGCACTATTAGCTTACGACAGCATATTTGCGAACGTGTACGTTAACTTTTTTGACCACCAGACATTAAACACACACACATACTTACAACCCGGTGAAAAAAAGAGTTAAGTCCTAACAACAGCAAAAAATATGGGATCTCAGCTGCATTTGTGGGCGCTCGGTTGGTTGGTTAGTTGGAGAAAAGGAGGCGGGACAGAAGGGGCAGCTTGTGCCGTTGTCTTTATTGCCGGCTTTTAAATGTTAACAAAGTGCGTACTTTGTTGTGTGCTTAACTGGCATTAAGAGCGACTAAAGCAACACACACAAAAACCCCAATCATTAACTTGTCTTTTAATGCAGAGTGCACTCCATAAAGAAGGGAAAGAATTTTTAACGAGATGCGTTTAGTTGGCACCACATAAAAAACGACTAATTTGCAATAAAGGTTTTTTATTTTTAGCAGCGATTATGATCTATTGAACTTATTTTAAAGGTTTTGTAACCAAATAACATGTATAGAAATACATATATGTAAAGAAAAATGTTTTTTTTTAAATTTGTATTAGGTATTTAACATTTAAATATTTTATTTTTAATTATTTTATGTAGTGCCTCTTATTAATAGTTTGTGGCAATACATGTTTTGTACATTTAAATTAATTTTGTAAATAAAAATCCATTTTTAATTTAAGTTGAGCATCCAACATTTAAATATTACAAATTTAATTTTTGTATAATAATATAATATTTATCTTTCCAAAATATTTAGTACATCTTATGATAGTTCTTGTATTCATATTTAACCTATGCAGCCTACAAAATTAATGAATACCCAAGCAGATGTCAAATGGTTTCCAATACTCGTTTATTATGTTTGAGCAATGTAGCATTTTGCAAACGAAACCAAAGCCAAAATCTTTTGGTTGCCAGTGGACTGAGATTGCGAACAACTTCTGGCCAAGACGCTTTTGGTAAAGAAACCGCACGACACACTCGACCTGTCAACACATTTTGCCCCTCTGCCTTCCTTTCGGGACTCTCAAGGCTTCTCCTTTCCTTTGGGGCCACACTCGAAGGATTCGCATCTGACATGGCCATATATCGTATATTATTATGCATGCAGTACCAGGCAATGGCCAGAAGAATATTCAAAGCATTTAGCAACTCATTGTCCCTTTCGCCAGCAGCAGCAAACCACCAGCAACATCAGCCAGTAGGAGAAAAGCCCAAGACGATGACGATGAAGACGAACAAAAATGTATTCATGGCCCCCCAAATTATATAATTTAAGTTTGCACATAAAATCACACCGCAAACTTGGAAAAAGGCCCGAAAAGTAGAAAAGTAGAAGCCGCAACAACAACAGCACTCAAGTGAACTGACATAGATACGGATATGTGAATTGCTGGGGGAGCATATACCATATAGGGGAAATTCTTACCGTCCAGGGATGGAGGGTTATATATTGTCGAGGGTCTTTCACATGAAATTAAATAAATAAATAAAGATAACAAACAATTATGATAAAAAAAAATATTATTGAACTCATAGTTTCTAACTTTCCCTAACTGTAATTTAAATTTTAAAAAATCCGCTAAGGATTCTTTACGAATTAAAAAAAAAAATTTCTTCTTACAGAATTATTTTTTCAAATAATACCGAATTAAATAATTTTTTTAATTTGTAAAAAATGTAGCCAATAGTTCTAAATCAAAGACGATTTTGTAAAATTCAACTTTTTGTTTGAACGAAACTATATAAGTAAAATATATTTTTAAAAGGAAAAAATTCTAAAAACTAGATGCATATAAATTAACATTTGACCTGTCATTATAGAGATGGTCGAGCTTTTTTTAAATTCTGCACTTAGATCAATTTAACCTTTACTTGTTTCAGGATCTTTGTCACTCTCAAAATTTCTACGCCCTATAAGCGAATTTTCCCCACCCATTTTCGCACTTTTTCCAAGTCTCCTTTCACCATTTCTCGAATCCGGCCGCCTCTATTACACAGTTGAGCACACAACGGAACCGAATTTAGCAACCATTCCACCCGCACACACATCAAATTTAAATATTTTAAAGAGGAAGCCGGACGCAGGACGCAAGACACACAAAGCACAAAACTTGTGTGCCATAAAATCGCTATAAAATTGCACAAATAGCATCGGAGACGTGAAGATCGAGTAAAGAAATACGGGGTACATATGTAAGTAGAGTTCCTGCCCCGATATCTGCTGACCTAAGTGCGTGTGCACATGAACTTTAACGAGTGAGTGGAGTGAGTGTCCTGCAGGTCCTTTTCCGGCGCCTTTTCAGCCGCTTTTTACCAGCAATGTAAGTCATTGTCATCTCCTTCTCGTATCGGACTCATTTGCCGAGCGGCTATCTCGGTTGCCTTTTGTAACCTTTTGCCACCCGCAAAACGAAACCTGATTTCCTTTTAATTTTTCCTTTCTTTCTTTTGGCTTTTTTCCTTGGGTTTCCTGGGCGACAATCTCAACACCCAACACATCAGCAAAGTTATGGCACTCCAAGGCTTTCACACGGTCCATTTCTGGGCGACAAATTGGTCTTCAGGCTGTCAACGCAAAAGGGTTTCGCCTTTAAGTTCCTGGCTCCTGAATTTTCCGGTGAATTTTTAAGGGTCCTTTGGTCATCAGCTACTCGGGGCTTCATACTTACTACGAACTTGGGAGACATTCTGTGGGCTGCCTTAATTAGAATGCCATAATGGCGTCCACACACACACGGCTCATAAATAATTTATACGCCATGAAAACGAATGTGCAAATTTAAATAATCAAATTCTACATTTGGGGCAGAGGTTGGGGCAAATATTGTGCCCTCGGGCATTCACACACAATCATCAATCGAAAGAAACCACTTTGGGTTAAATCGAATACTTCAAACTATTTGGGATTCGGCAAAAAGGATAAATGAATTTGCATAAAATTTAAGTGAAAGGTGGAAACACCTGAGATTCAAAAGAGCTGCCTTTTCAGTCCGGATTCCGGAACCTCAAAAGATTATTTCTGTGGCTGCCATTCGGCATGGCCGTCAATCTGTCAATTTAAGACAACAATTACGATAAGTGAGTTAGGATATTTATTAAGCCAATCAATGGATTA